TCGCGGCGTGGCCGCTATCAGCTCCAAGCGCAACAACACCACCTCGATTGAACATGTTGTTGTCGTGATGAGCTTTGTGCTGGAAGCTGCTGACTGCGTCTGCGGATGGAAACGTCTAAGCGTGTCGAGCAGATTCTTGGATGCTGCATCTGGCGCGCGCAATCCTGTTGTGAAGCACAACTGGTTCAGATCGTGACGGTGCTGGGCCACGAGATGAAGTATCAAGGCAATCTCTGGTCGTTTCATGCACCGTGGTCGTGCGAGAAAAATTTGACAACTTTGTTATTTCGTTCGTGCGCGAAGCACGACAGCAGCCCGAACTTGAAAAGCACATCGGGCATATGGGTGACCATGTGGAATTTGCGCGTTCAGAATTCAGTGCTGCAGGCCACCTGGTGCAGCCGCAAATGCACCATCACGGCTGCCGAGACCTCGTCGCAGTTGACGTATTCGTTTTCGGGCAAAGCGGTGGGCGCGTCCAAGACGTTGCGCAAAGCCAGGAGGTTCGAAACATGGTCGGCGCCAGCCCTTGCGCCTGGAACTTTGGCAACCGCCTCCTTGGCGAAATGCCGCGAGCACGGGGGCCGCGAGCAATGTCTCGGATGCACCCGCTTGCAGGTCGCATGGGCCGGATGCCCGACGAGCATGCGGGGCCGTCGCTGGCCAAGGCCAGTTCTGGAAATACGCGTTGGTGTCATGATCGCTTCAGATCTATGCGATCGCTGAAATGCAAAGAACGCGCTGGCATCCCTATCAACAGCGCCGCCTACAACGCATACGCGCATCCAGTCGAAGCACAACAGCGCCATCGTACCATGCCCCATTCCGCGGTCCAGCGAGGCGAGATGTGCGCCAGGTGGTAGTTCCACCCGCCACGCCGAGTGAGTTGGCTCAACTTCGCATCGACATCTCGCCCCGCGCAGACCGATCATAGCGACGGCGATTCCTGCTCAGGATCGCAACTGCAGATGCGTCGGCGTTGCATGCCCGTTTGCTTTTGCATAGGGAAGCGTCGGCCACGGACCAGCCCGATGGATCGCACAGGCTGTAGTCGAACCTGTGATAAACCGTGGTTTTCTATATGGCGCACGGCTAGGTCACTGCGTGATTTTGTTCACTTGGAACTCTCGGAGTGCCTAGTCGCGCCCGGCGCTGCACCCTAGCTTCGCGCGAACTGCCTCGCGCTCCGAGCCGCCGCCAATACCGGGCGCGTCTACCGCGGGGCCTGTAGCTGCGAGCGGGACTTCGCCAGCGGCGGTGCTGCAGCGTAACTTCCCGCGCAAAAGGCGCGCGGCCGATGCCGCCGGGCGCGCCGCGCGCCGCTGCCGCCCCGGCAGCGCCCAGAACGAGCCGCGCGCCCATGTCAGACACGTAGTCGTCGCATTCCAGGAGCGATTAATACATTGCGTCTGCGCGCCTATAGTCCTTGCCTGTAGCCAAAAGGTCGCGCGGCCGGATGCCGTCGAAGTGGGCGCAGATTCGCCGCGGCCGGGCCGGCGCGCGCGGGCGCCTTTGCAGCTGCCGCCGCGCCGAGGATCTAGACTGGCTGCTCTCTCTCCACGGGGCGCGCGACATGGGCCAGGGGGCGAGCGCCCAGTTCGGGGCGGATCTGCCGCCCGCAATGGCGGCGCAGCGCATTTCAGCGCGCGCCCGCACGGGGCCGCCTCTCCAGACGCGACCGCGCGTTCTGGGGGATATTCCGCAGTCCGCGAGATGGCGCCAGGCACCCCGTTGCCTCGGATATACGTGAATGCATGGTCAAGCCCTCTTTCTGACATGTAGTGCCCGCGGTGGCTCTCGACTGGGGCGTCTGCGCCCGCCTCGACGTCTTCGCGACGACGGCGCCGCGTTTCGGATATGGGCCAGACTGGCCACTGATCGCAATGGGAGACAACGCGCGTTGCGACGCAACGCTTGCGTCGCATAGGCACACCGCGCGGCGCGCGACAGCACTTATCCGCTGCCATCCAAGGGTGGCTTCTCCAACGAGGGGCCCCGACGCTTGAGGTGGCCCTGCCTTGCGTGGCGCGCTTGATTGATGGTGGGACTTGCTCTGCTTGTGCGATTTTCTACGATGACCGCCAGTATCGGACTCTGAGATCGCGGCCTCGGGAACTGGTCCAATGTCGGTCGCCCCCCGCCACGTGCGACCCGCGCGTCGCGCGTCGCATGGATGCGCCGTCAGCCTGCGCGCGCGGCGCGGAGGAGGCGCTGCGCACGCGGCATGCATGCGTTGCGTGGCACGTCGCCAGATGAGCGCGCCGAAGGGGCCCTTGCTCGCGGCGTGGAAGTGGCGTACAAACTACAGTTGCCCCCATGCGTTGGCCCGTTCGCAGCCTGGTGATGACGCGTAGAGTTCCCCACTGGCTACGTCTATGGTTATCGGCAAATGGCCTTATAGAGCAGAGCAGGGTAGGTTCAATCGGATAACATTGCGCCGGGTACATTTTCTTTCGGGTGGGTAGGCGGCGCAAGCAGTAGCGGGCGTCGCAGCGACGACAGTTGAGATTCTATCGCGCCCCCAAGTGCACGCGCGAGGTGTTGCTCGTGCAGCCCAGTTGGTCAGCGCTGGCGGGCGCGCGCCGCGCGACGGGAGGCGCGCGCGCGCTGCAAGTTTCGCGGCGATCCAGAGTCCACAAACTCAGCCAGCCGAGGCAGAATTGTCGCCGCTGCAGGTGGGAACCAACAACTGGCGCGGCACATGGCTGACTCACTTCAACGCGCAGGTTCGCCGCGACCTCATGTCGGCGGCCTCCAGCGCGGCGGCGAACGCCCCCCGGCGCTCGCGGGCGCCGCCTCATCCGCACCCCGCCCGCCCGCGTCACGATTGCGTCGTGCGCGCCAGCTCCCCGGTCTGCGCCGCCTGATCCCGACCTGCGCAGCAAGAGCAAAGCGCCCTCATTGGGCGGCGCCAGGAGCTCTGGCGGCATCCCGAAGGTCGCGGCCGCCTACCCCTGGGCGCCCTTCATGGCCCCCAGCGCCGGCGACGGCGGTGGCGCGCGCGCGCGCGGGGGGGGGGGGCGGGCGCCAGCGCGACCCCTGGCGCCATCGGGCGCCGCGGCTGCTGGCCCCCTCGCTGGCGACGTCGTCGTCGCTGCCGCCGGCCTCGGCGGGCGCCTTGGCTGGCTTCTTTGGGGCGGCGCGTTTCGCAATTCCCTGGAGCGGCGCCTCCCCCTCCGCCGTCGAAGTCTGCGTTCCCGCTCTGGCGGCGATGGGGGCGACCGCGGGCGCCGCGGGCGCCTCGCCAATCGGCTTGGGCGACGCAGCCTCGGCCGCGGGAGACGCAGCCGCTGGCGCGGGCGGCGGGGCGGCCATGGGCGACGGCGCCCGCGCTGTCGCGGGCAGCCGCTGCGACGCCACATGCGGCCACGCGGCGGCTGCGGCCAGGTGGTGGCTGAAGATCGCGGCGGCCAGGCCCTGGCTGAACATGGCCTGGTGCGCCCCGATCTCCGTGGGCGGCGTGGCCGCGATTGGGCCGACCGCCGCGCGCGGGCGCGCTGCCCCGTCCTTGCTTCGAACCCAGGCGTGGGCTTTCATCGTCAGCTCAGGCGCCTCGACCTTCCACGCGTCGCGGGGCTGCTCGCCTTCGCTGCGCGCGCCCGCGCGCTTGGGCACGGCGACGAGATCCGATGGGTCACCGCGCAACCGAATCGCGCGGCGACCCCGCGCGGTAGGTTTGAGTACCAAGAGGGCCTTTAAATGATTTCCCAAAGCTGGTCGTGCCGCTCGCCGCTCGACGCATTCGCGATGGCGCCCGCTGCGGCCATGGCGGCGCCGCGCCTCTTTCCCGCCTCGCACGGCGACTGCGCGACCAGCTTATGGGCGCGATCTGTCGACAACGTGGGCCATTGCATTCTCAGAAATCATGACATCCTGAGGCTGTGCGATCTCGCTCAGGGCCATCCGCTGCGGCAGCGATGCAATGTGCCGTCGCCGCTTATCCACGTTGGCAGTTACGGCGATACCAGTGCTGCTGCCCACTCGGCCGGCTAAGAACGCAACCTTTGGTTGCGACCGTTCGGGCAGCGCATGGCATCTGGTTGCGGCGACAAAGGCCGCGGCATCCTCCGCGCTGAGCTGTCGACGGTGGAACCGAGGCTGTCGCGCTGCTGGCGCACGCAACTTGCGCCGTCAAACCCGCGGCCCATTGGAACGTGAATCCGCTCTACCATGTGCCCGGGCTTTGCAATGACGTTGGGCATAGTGGCCGTGGTTGTTGCGGCGCAGCGCTGTCCTCGAGAGCGGGGGCGGCCGATGCGCGCAACATCTTTCGGGCTTGTACGTTCGCGAAAACGACGGCAATTGCGCCACTGTTTGGTCGCGTGAGATAGCTGGTCCGATCGATGTCAGCGCGACAACCTTTCAAGCCACAGGTCGCACCGCCCACCCGCCCGCCCACCCACCCATCCCCCACCCACCCCCGCCACATCCCCGCAGCACCGTTTGCGCAGCGATGCAGAGGCCGAGTGTTTTTGCCCCTCGCAAACGCGGTGTAGCTAACCAGTATCATATACTTGGAAGAGGTGTCGCAGGTTGGCTTTGCGATCGGCCGCGCTAGCGATGTGTCGCCTGGCCCCATAGGTCCGCGGGGCGCTCAGCCTTGTCTGCGTCGCGCGCCTCAGTCGCATCGATCAACCGCCCCAACGTGTCGACGTGGTCGAATATGGACGCCATGCATGTTGCTTTAGCTGATTATACGAGCTGCTTGGTAGCCTCGAAACGCTCGAAGCGCTTGAAATTGACGCCCACCCGTGGAAAACATGGGCGCACGCGCGCAGTTCGACGCGATCACCCCATACAATTGCCACCCACCAAAAAGCAACATGCACGGTATGCCACTTCTCCCTGTGACAAGGGCGCTGGTTTTGATGCGAGATCGAATTCCTTCTTGCTCGCGATTTGACTGCAAGTGTTTGCTGCGGGCTCTCTTGGCGATCGCGCTTGGTATCAGCGCGAGTTGTATCCATGTATCCTCGATGCTTCACCCCTCCTCCGCCCAGGTTTGTTGAGATTGTCGCGAAGCTAATCGCCCGCAGCGGGAACGACATCCTCGCAAACATCATGCTCGTGCGCCTGCTGCGGTTCGCGCGCCTGGCGCGCGCTGCCCGGCTGCTCGTCCAGTTCAGGGTCTTGTGGCTGCTCGTGCAAGGCCCTCTCCTCTTCTTCCTCCTTTTCCTCTTCCTCCTCCTCCTCCTCCTTCTCCTCCTCCTCTTCCTCATCCTCCTTCCCTCCCTCCTCCTCCCTCACCTCTTTTATTTGTGAAAAGCACACGACGAACAGTTTGTTGTCGTTTTCCGCCTCCGGAAGCCCTCACCTTTCCCACGGACCGTCAGTAACGGCGCAGGATGAAAGACCGTTTCTGGGGAAGGGGTTCAGACCTCCAAGGGTCGACGGTATGACAACAATGGCGACGCTGGAGTTTTGGCCCCTCCTGTCGGCGGCGCGCCGGGGGTGACAGTGAGAGGGGGCAGGCTTTCTCGGGAGGCGGTGGGGCTTCGGAGAATGCCCATAAGGCTTCTCAGATGGCCGGAGGCCTTCTGAGCCTTTTGAGAAGGCCCGCCCCCTCTGCGCAGCTGCCCTGCTACGCCCGTTTTGGGAACGCAACACGTACTGTGTTCCAGACGTCAGTGTTGACACGCGTTTTGGCGTACAGTGCCGTTTTTTATACATGCTCCGCGTGCAGATCATGTATGACAAATGCAGGGATTCAGTATTAAAAACATCGATGAGTTCATGCATACATTCATTCATAAAGTAATCATGGATTGAAAATCCAATATGTTTAAGAATCCTATGTATTTAAAACTGCCCTGTACGTCTCGCGCCGAGCGTACGTTGTCAATCTACGTGTTGAGCTGCGTGCCAGCACGCCACGGGTTGCGCGCTGCGCATCGGGGCGGCAAAAGCCCCTCTGCTTGCCCCCCTTGGGAGCGCCGCCGCTTCCGTCGGCCCCGGGATCTCGCAAGGAAGGCCGCTCAGGAGCCGGGCGGGCTTCTGAGAGGCCCCCTCCTGCCGTCCCAGGAGCTCCCAGGCCTTCTTGGGAAGGCCGCCTCCCTCGCGTTGCCCACTCGTGCGCGCCACCACTTCTCAGTCGTCCTCCTCCTCCTCCGTCCCAGTTTCGTTGTCCGTGCCCCATTTGCCGTCCGCGGGGTGTACGCATGATGCCGCTCGCGTCCGAAGAGAAAGGGGAAGGAACGTGGCTGGGGCCACGGTGGCCCCAGCACACAGGGTACGGTCGGACCGAGGTATCAGATCGAGGTCGGTTCTAGGAGGGTCCCCTAATGTTTTTCGTGTTTGTTGGATGCTGTTGTGCATCTTGGGGAGGGTACTTACCCTTGGATGGTATGTGTAGTTTGGCCGGCGGAGGGTCTCACGTTCTTGAAGGCTGCGCTTCTGTTGTAGTTCCAACCGTCAGGCAAGGAGCTCCTGCGGGGCCCCCACCCAGGACCGCTCAAGCCCCAACGGCCTCCTCCTCCTCCTCCTCCTCCTCCTCCTCCTCCTCCTCCTCCTCCTCCTCCTCCTCCTCCTCCTCCTCCTCCTCCTCCTCCTCCTCCTCCTCCTCCTCTCCTCCTCCTCCTCCTCCTCCTCCTTCTCCTCCTCCTCCTCCTCCTCCTCCTCCTCATCCTCCTCCGTCGTCTCTTTGACCTGCCCACTCCTCCGCCTCTGTTTCTTTGTGCTTACCTCCTCCCTGTCGCGTGTCCAGACGTGTGGGGAGGGCGGGCCGGGCGTTTCGCCGCAGAAGTCCGGGCCCTTTATGATCCTAAAGCTTGAAGGCCGCAGCAAGTGCAAGGATAGAGGGGCGTCGTCTTCAAACAGGGGCTCTCGCCTGAGCGCCGCGGACATTTGCAGTGAAACATTGCAGCACTTTCAAATCTTGGTGGGGATTGTTTTTTTGTAACATGGCGCTCTTACCTTAGCGCCGCGCACATTCGTACTCAAACTTTGTAGCAGCTTCGGCGACGGAGCGCAGGTCGTTTTCAAACTGCGGCTCTCACCGCGGCGCCGCTGACATGCGTCGTAAAATCTCGCAGCAGCTTCAAGGATTGAGGGGGTCGTTTTCATGATGGGGCTCTCGCCTCAGCGCCGCGCGCATTCGGCTTGGACATGTGCAACAGTTGCAGGGATGGAGAGCACCATTCTTCCACGGCGCAGCATGATGTAGCCTACGCGGCCAAGCATTACAAGTTGCGATGCAGTGACACATGCAGCATCAAAGTCGTAGTTTGTCGTCTCTCCTCCGCCACGTCTTCCCTATATCCTCATTCTCGTTCTCCCTTCATTTTGCTCCTTCTCCGCCGACTCCTCTTCTGTCTCCAGAACTCTAACGTCGAGCTGTTTCACAAAGTCGACCTCTAAATGTCTGGGCCCCTTCCTGGACACCGACTTTTCATCCCTGGTAGTTGTTTGACATTCCCGTGGCCCAGAGAGGGAAGTCAGAGGGCGAAAGCGGCCAAAAATGCTCCGCCGTGATTTTGATGGGGGCCTTTTTCTTTCCAGGCCTCATGAACTCGTTCATGACCATCATGTGGACGATCGTCATCATGGTGGTCCTAATCTACATATTCGCCATCCTCGGGCTGGAGCTGCTGCGGCCCGACGAGGGCGCCGGGGAGGACTACCGCGACGCGATCCAGAACTTTGACAGCCTGGGCCGGTCGATGCTGGTCCTCATCCAGTTCTTGATCTGAGGGGCTCTGCGCCGCACTCTCCGACCCACCAGATGAGGCGTTCCAGAAAGGGCCTTGCCTTCGAGGCTCGAAGGAGTCGGCATTTCTTCCTCAGCGGAAGGTGGCGGCAGGCTGGCGGAAGGCGGCGGAAGTAGAACAAGGCCGCCTCCTCCAGCAGAAGGCCAGCGGAAGGAAGTTGGCGGAAGTAAACTTCGGCCCCCCAAGAGATGGACACATTTTTGGGTTCAGGGTTTCGGAACTCGCCATGCGTCGTGGGGTGCTCTCTGGTCGTACTGCTCGGGAAACGATACACTATGAGATTTGTGTACTACGTGTTCGGGTCGGACGCACGCCTCCGAGGAGGACACATATAGCACTAGTACGTCCTTGTGCGTCCCACCCTTCGCCCCGCGGTCGCAACCTCCCCCTTTTTTCTCGCGCCTGCCGCCAGACAGCTAGCGATGCTGTCACCCGGCTTGCCCGAGCGCGCGTGCGGACTGCCTCTGCCGCGCTGCGACGTAAAAAGTGCGTCCCATCCAACCCTCCCGATTTTTGCGACAATTCAGGGGAACATCCCATGCCATCTTGCTGACTCCTGCGAATCGACGCTCGTCGACGCTGCATCGGCGCTGACCGACGCGAAATCGGCGCTCTCTCACCGACCCCCAAACGCAAATCGACACGAGTCGACGCGAAAGACGGAATCCAGAGGCTACACCAGGCTCCCCTGTTTTTGCTACCGAACCAGACGTCGCCCTGGCCCGGAGTTTCCTTGGCATCGCTCGGACGTGTGCAGTTTTCCTTCGGCGAGGACCATCGAGGAGGATCCCTGATCATTTGGCGAACAAAACACGCACGAAACCGAACAAAAGTACAGGGAATGGATGTCCGAGCGATGGCCAGATTTCGGCGCGTCGACGCCCCTTGGAGCCAGCTCGGGCGCCGCCCGCGCCGATCTCGCCGCCCGTGCGCGATGGGGCGGCGAGGGCGGCGGCGAGGCGGCGGAGTCGCCCTCGGCATCGCTCGGGCGTTTTTTTTGTTTTCCTCGGCGAGGGCCATGGAGGAGCATCCTGGATCGTCTGGCAACAGAACGGCACGCCCGAGACCGACAAAATGCACGGGGAGGCGTCGGGCCCAAGACAACATAAGTTCGAACCCTGCGGCGCAAGATGCCCCCCAGGCCCCCGAAGCTGGTATCGAGAGTGTGGCAGTGGAGAGGGCATGGGTGGACAGAAATAGTCGAACCTCCAGACCACCACCCATGCTAAAATCAACATTGATTTAGGGGGCGGGGGGGGGTGATGAACATCCGCCTCGAGTGTGTGAGGGTTCGAATGTTTTGTCCATGTATTGGCGCACACATCACCAGTATGAATCCGACATGGAAGTTGCATGGTGGATTTTGTTGGACAACATTCCCTGGGCATTCCGCACCTTATGCGTTGTTCCGCACGTTGGGGTTCTTCGACGCGACTAGACCCACCATCGTCTTATAGGTGGGCTTCAGAGCATGTTGGGCGCGTTGTTCCCATTGGAGTTGGGCGCCGACCAGCGGGTTCGTGGGGGCCGACCAGCGGTATGTCTTTCTTGACTGGCGGGTTTTCCTCGATTTCGGCCCTCGGGAGGCCATCATCGAGCTGGGGCCACCAGGGACGGATCCGGGACGAACACCTACCCCCGTGGACGCGGTCGGGGCTTCTGGGTGGGGCCGCAGAGGAATCATGACAGAAGGTTTTTGGTCGTTTTCGTTCTCCAGTGGCCCTCACCGGGCCCAAGGGCAAGAAGGAAAGCTGGTCCTGGGAAGGAACGCCGGTGGTCGACGTTGTGGAAAAAGCACGGCGTCGAAGTCCTGGGACTCCCCAGTGGGCGGTTCGTGGGCGGGGTCCTCTGGTGCACGTGCCAAGGTTTTGGCGGAATGGATACATGGGATGCAACGTGGTTTTGCCGCCCGCGGCCGACGACGTCCGCGCTGGTGCGTCGCTTGTCCCCTAGGCGTGTGCAGCATCTTCGTCCGCACCTTGTCTTCGGCGACGGGCTTGTGCAGCAGGCCTTCTGTTTCTACGCTCGATTCGTCTTCACTCCCGCCCTGCTCCCAGAACGCGACATTATACCCCAAGTCATCCCGCATCCCCAGTTCCTGCTGCTCGCCCTCCTCATCCACGAGCGACTGGGATCCTCAGGATGGACCCCAAATAATTACTAACCTGGGTTAATAACGTTCTGGGATTATGGACCAGTGTTCATAATATCTCGCCTGCCTAAAACATTATAAGTCTGGATTTACATGTTCTGGGAATATTGACTGGGGTTCATAATGTTCCTCCCGGAGCATTATAAACCCTGGTTTATTTTGTTCTGGGGATATCGACCCCAAAAACATATTGACCTGGGTTCATAATGTTCTGGGAATATTGACTGGGGTTTACGATGTCCCGGGAATAATGATCTCGGTGTTCGTCATTCCGGAATGATAATCATTATTATTTTTCCCCCAATTCCTTGGTTCCTCACCAGGTTTCTCATGTCGGAATATCGACTCCGGTTCATAATCTCCAGGAGATAATAAACCCAGATTCATAATGTTCCCGGATTGCTGACCCCGGGTTAATTATTCTGGAATGATAATGAATGGGCCCAGGGGGCGCCGTTCGGGGGTACGTTCTGGCCTGAAATAAACCTTGGTTCATAATGCTGGATTCTCCAACTTAGGTTGATTGTTCCGGAAAGATAATGATTCGGCCGGGTGGGGGCTCAGCCCGATCCATTCACAGGACAATAATCCATAGGGTATCATCTGCAGATAACGAACTTCGGTTTTCATTCCTAGATACTAAACCACGGTCGACGAGGATTTCGCGCCTACCCTCGCGATCCTGTGGCCTCGACACTTAAACACGCATGAGACTTGGGTCCCACGAGCTCCCCTTGGGCCTTGCTTTGGGGCCTGGTGGGAGCTTCCCTCTATCGGCGGCGAAATCTGAGCCCTACCCTGGCCGGTCAACGATTCGCGCAGCTAGCTGGGCGGCGGGGGTCGGGTTCGGAGTCTGTCGAGCACGCGGCGGAATCCGGCCCCTGTTCCTGCCTGCTGCCCATCGATTCAGGGGAACCGATAGTCAAGGTGTGATTCGGACGTCGCCACCTGACCTCGTGAGCCTCCCGATCGCCTTCTGGCTCGCGCTCCGACTTGTGGGTGGGAACCGACTGGCCCCTGTGTAAACTTGCGGGAGGCCCCGAGCTGCTATAGGGGCGAGGGCCGCCTGGCGTGGCCCGCCGATCGACCTCGGCTCCGCCTCCGGCTGGAGGGACAGACGCCGACATCGCTGCTCGTCCTGCAGGGCCCTCGTCGCCACTGCTAAGAGCATCCTCGAGTTTCTGGTCAGGGCGCGCTGCAGGAGAGGTCCGTTGAGCAGCGGCATCGGTACCTCTCCGCCCCCACAGCAAGCATGACACTCTTCTGGCGAACACCGCATGCTGAAGCTCAATCACCAACCCTGGCACCATGGTGCAACCCCAGAGTTCCGACATTGTGTGTTTTTGTTTTCGCAAGTCGACCCCCAGCGCTCTGAACCCCTTCCCGGAGACTGGCTCACCCAGGGCAGCTCTTCTGCGGTCCCGAGGCCCGGTGAGGGCCCCCAGAGTCCGAAGACGGCCAAACATCATCCGTCGCGATTCTTCTGACAGTGCCCCGAGTCATCCCGCATCTCCAGTTTCTCGTCCTCGGCGTCCTCTTCCCCCTCCTCGTCCACGTCCTCGTCCTCTGCGCCCCTGTTGGGGCAGACCTCCTCCTCCTCCTCCTCCTGGCCCCCTCGCTGGGCGACCCCTCGATGGGCTCGGCGGGCCCTCGACAGCGCTGGGCCCATCTACGTGGCCATCTGCCTCGAGAAGCCGCACATCACCATCTATTCAGCAGGCCTGCGCCGCATCCGCCGACCCCTTCATCACAAGGGCTTGGCTGGAGACCTCCTCCTCCTCCTCCTCCTCCTCCTCCTCCTCCTCTGCCTGCCATGTCTGCGCTGTCGAGTGGCCTGCGGTGAACTCCCGCCACCCGTGCCCGTGCTGCGGACAGGAGGCGTCCTTAATGGGGCTTCTTGGGTTTCACGGGGGGTATGTCCGGGGCGTCTTGGAGGTGTCCTGTGAGGCTTCTATTTAGCTTTTTGAGAGTATCTGGGAGCCTCTTGTGGCTTTGGGGGGCCTCGTCGGGGGCTTTGGGGGGCCTCGTCGGGGCCTTCCGAGAGAGCCAGCCTGGGCTCTCTGGGGCGTGCGAGACGTCCATCTGGGGCGCTGGAAGGCGACGGCGAAGCGTCTTGGGCGTTAGGGCTTGCGAAGATCCGAGGAGTGGCCCATCTCTAGGGGGAATAAAAAGTGGCATAAACATAAAAACTCGGAGGTCCGCTCGGATTTCTCGGATCGGCGCTGGAGGCTCCGCCGGGGGGCCCCAGCGCCGATCCGAGAAATTTGCGCGGACCTCCGAGTTTTTATGCTTATGTCATTTGTTGCTCCCCTAATCTCTTGGTCCCTTGTCGGAGCTGCGTTCGGGGCACGTGCGACCTGGGTATCCCCGAGGCGGAGATCAACGCCTGCGGGGAGGACACCATGCGCCGTGGGGAAGGAGGAGAGGATGAGGACCGTGGGAGAGCAGGAGGCTCCAAGGACCTGGAGGGCGCGTGGTGCGCTTTGCCAGCCCTCGGGGCGCCTGTCTGCAATCCGACTGTGAACAATGAGGGCGTTGCAGTCTTTACTGCTCCTGCGCGCAGGTTCGACACTGCCCCTGCTCCCAGTGGCCCCAGCGGGCCGGCAGTGGGATCCCCTGACGACGCACGCTCGGGGCCACCCCAGGAGGCCCAGACAAAGCAGCCCAGCAGCCGATGGAGGCGGCCCAGCACCAGAGAGCCGTCCACCCGTCAGACGATTTACCCACGATGATCCGTGGTTTCGCCGCCCTGGATTTTCTATCGACGAGGGTACACACGCAGCCCAGAGCGGCAGTCCGTGCTCCTCGGGAACCTGGCGGACTTGTTCTCAGCCCACCAGTGTTACCCCCGGCGGGCTGCAGGCTCGTGAAAGCTCAGGCGTGGCTGACTCAAGCTGATTCGGCTTTTCACCGCCCTGGCGTCGAAGGCACCGATCGCACAGTTTTGAAGTGTTCTCACGATGCTGTCTCCTCGCCCGTTGACTCGGCTTTTCGCAGACCCGGTTCCGACGGTCCCTTTGTGATGTTCGAACCTCTCTCACGCGATGATTCGGCATTTCGCCGCCCAGATGCTGAAGTGGTTGAAGCACTTGCCTGTGCGGACCTTTCGGGGCTCAGTGGCGTCGCTTACCACCGTTCTTACTCGGCTTTTCGCCGACGTGTTTCTCATGTTCAACCTGGGCCCAACTCACGCGCAGAATCGGCTCTTCGCCGCCTTGGCGCAATGGGCGCGGATGTCTCCCAGGCTGCGGATGACCCCATGGACTCCCTTGACCCAGAAGGGGGCGAGCCAGCCCGCGCGGGATCGCCGATCTCGATCGACCGCGCCGCCGATCCGTCCTCAATCGGGGCCTGGCCACCGATCGCGCCTACCGCCCCCTTGGATCCGCGGGGGGAATACAGAGAGCCAGACCGTCTGGGTACGACTGCAGCTCCGGCTCCCATCTCTCCGGCTGCGGCTCCCGCCGACTCCGGCTCCAGCTCCTGCCGCCCAAACACGTCTCCCGAGGGCTCTCGCGCTCCCCCGCGCTGCCCTCTGAGGGCCGGTCCCGCTGGGCCGACATCGCGCGCTCGCCTCGCCTCGCCCCCCCGCTGACGCGTTGCTGGGCAGGCACGTCTCGCAGCACCGCGGGGCCCCGGCGCGCTGTGGGCGGCGGCGCCCGAGGGCAGCCGCCGGGCAACGCATATATCTGCCATCCCGGGGGCGGCCGGGGAGAGCGAGCTGCGGAAGGCCCCCACCGGCCCGAGCGCACCTCTGGAGTGGCTCCCACCATTCGGGTATAGCCAGGACCCCAGGTAAGGGGACCCGGTTAGTGGTGGTGGGGCCCTGGAGCCTCTGAGTTGGCCAAGAATCACTAAACCAGGTCTGCCGTAGCTCGTGTTCTTTCGGGTGACGGCAGTTCCGGTTAGTGGAACGGGGCGGGGGGGCGTCCCCCAGAACACATCACTAAACCAGGTCCCACTAAGCCCAGTTCTGCCAACGCCCGATCCATGGCCGGCGCCGAGCACGAGGGAGCGTGAGCGGCGTAGGCCCCAGCACCGGCTGCCCCTGCAGGGGGCGACGGACCCCCTGCCACAGAGCCTGGCCGCGAGGCCCTCCGCCCGAGAGGCAGCAGACAGTTCGGCTAAGGAGAGCAGGCAAGGAGCAGTCCAGGCGGAAGCTCTCCTGGCGAGCGCGCCCTCGGGAGCAGTGACGAGGTAGGGAGGGCAGACGACCCCGGCCAAGCAACTGACGACAGCATGGGCGAAGGCACCGATTCTAACCGGCATCCACCATCGTCAAGCCCCACATGGACTTGTGACATGTGCACGGCGATCAATTCATGCGAGATGATGGCGTCCATGCACATCCAGCACACCTAGGCACCAGACCGAGGCCAAGCGCCCACTGGAGGCAGCCGGGTAGCTGGATGTGGTCGTGCCAAACATACACAGACGGACAGGACATCGATACATGTTGCCTCTTGGGGATTTGTTGGGACATTCTTGGGCCGTTTTGGGAGCCCCTTGAGCTGTTTTGAGGCCATCTTGGGTCGTCGTGGGTCGTCTTGGGTCGATACGTGACCGTCCTGGAGGCATATCGAGGCCATCTCGGGCTTAGGTGAGGCCATCTTGGCCGTTTTCGGAACAGTTTGGGCCGTCGTGGAGGCCATCTTGAAGCCCAGCAGCCGGCAGCCCCCAAAGGCCCTGGGTGAGCTCGTACCCCCGTCGCTTTGGGCTGTTCCCCCTCAGCCACGCAATCTTGGGCCCAGCGGGGGGCTTCAGGGGGGGATGAGTATCAACGCCTGGAGACCTCGAGGGTTCGGCAGATTTCGCCTCCTACATGCTGATTGTTTCTATCAGCTTAATGAACCTTGTAACTGCTTTGATGGTGGACAATGCGATGTCGCAGTCCGTCCAGGACAAAGAGGCAGAGCAGGCATGGGAAGCTGCGAGCAAGAAGAAGGCCATTCCGAAACTCAAAGAGATGTTTCTCGACCTAGACGAAGACGGGAGTGGCTGCCTTGAGTTGGAAGAGCTCCAGAACGCCCCCGAGGACTTGAAAGACCAGCTGAGACAGATTGCCAAGATGGAGGACTGCGAGGAGCTGTTTCACTCTCTCGATTACGATGGCAGCGGCAGCATCGACGTGGAGGAGTTCTGCGATGGCGTCCTGAAAGCATCGCAGGAGAACAAGCCGTTGGAGTTGCTGCGGCTGGCTCGCCAGTGCACCGCCATCCACCAGAGCACCAAAGAGGCCCTACAGCTCATCCAGGAGAGCTGGCCAGAGGGTTCGCAAGGCGACAAGGCCGGATGTCTGGAGGAGGAGAAGAAGGATATGTGAGGAGAAGCGCGGAAAAGGATGAGGAGGTGGAACGATGATGATGAGGATGACGATAATGAGGATGATGTTGCTGCTGATGATGATGACGATGACGATGACGATGATGGCGATGATGATGATGATGATGATGATGATGATGATGATGATGATGATGATGATGATGATGATGATGATGATGACGATGGTGGTGGTGATGATGATGACGATGATGATAACCATGATAACCATGATGATGATGATGATGATGATGATGATGATGATGATGATGATGATGATCATCATGGTCATGGTCATGATCATGATCATGATCACGATCATGATGATGATGATGATGGTGATGCTGATGATGATGATGATAATGATGGCGATTATGGTGGTGTTGATGGTGGTGGTGATGATGATGATGATGATGATGATGAGGAGGAGGAGGAGGAGGAGGAGGAGGAGGAGGAGGAGGAGGAGGGAGAAGAGGAGGAGGAGGAGGAGGAGGAGGAGGAGGAGGAGGGGGATGACTCAGAACTCCGACGTCGTGTTTTTTTCGCAACGTCGGCCCTCAGAGGTCTGGACCCCTTCCCTGGGGCTGGTTTTTCATCCCAGATTGCTTTGGCCGGTCTTGGGGCCCAGCGAGGGCCGCGAGAGGCTGAAGTCGGCAACGCAGCTGGACCGTCGCGGCCTCTGCGCGACGAGCGGAGGTGGAGGAGGAGGGAGACGAGACGCGGGTGGAGAGCCAGGCCGACTTCCCCGCGGCGCCCCGCCCGGACGCTGCCGCAGCGGTGCTCGACGAGGGCGGGCGGCCCCGCGCCGCCGAGGCCTCCCTCGGCGCCCGGGTGACGTCGATGGAGCTGCGCATCGCAGGCCTCGGGCCTCCCGGGGCCCTCGGGCCGAGCTGCCTCGGGCCTCGCAGCCGCGGCCGGAGGATCGCACCGCCTCGCCGACGCCGACGGCGCCGGGGCATCGCCGACGCCGCCGGCGAGGCCTCGGCGAGGCCTCGGCGAGGCCTCGGCGAGGCCTCGGCGAGGTGCTTCGGCGAGGCCTCGGCGAGGCATCGGCGAGGCCTCGCCGATGCTTCGGCGATGCGGCGCGATCCCCCGACCCCATCTAACTACTCGGACCCCATCCAGGAGGCCTCAACGACTGGGGCCAGGGCGGACCCATACCCCATGCCACGACTTCCTGTCGCGGCAGCAAGAAGTCACGACTGAAGCTTTTTGTTTGCCGTTTCCAGCCTCCGGGAGGGCCTGGGACAGTCAAAAGGCTGTCTTGAAAAGGGATCCAGACCTCTGGGGGTCGACCTTGTGAAATAATCACGACCTCGGAGTTCTGGGTACGGTAGGTTCGCGTCGTGTCGACCGGTGGCGACCCCGTCGCCGGGGTCGTCACGACACGAGCCCGCCGTGCGGCAGGTTCATGTTGTGTCGACTCGGCCGAGGCCCCGCCGCAGGCGTTGCAGGTCGAGCGCCGCCGGTGGCCCCGAGTCGGCCACCGTGGAGCGACCGGATTGCAAAAAAACCGAAGGATTGCAAAAAGAACCTTCGGTTTGCAAAAAAAAACCTTCGGGTTTTTTTGCAATCCTTCGGTTTTTTTTTTGCCATCCTTCGTTCAAAAATGGTTTTTTTTGCAATCCTTCAGTTTTTTTGCAATCCTTCGAGGAGCGAAGAGCCGCGGGGCATTCGATGGTTGCACGAGCCGCGTGGTGGTCGGAGACGAGCGCCGGGGTCGTCACGGCACGAGCATGCCGCACCTCCGAAGGGCGGGCGTCTTCCATCCCGACGCTCTTGGGCACAGCGTCGGCCTCCAGGGGCCGCTCCCGGGGAGGGATCGCAAGCTCCGGGGCCGCGGATTGGCATGGTCAGCTCGTCGGATGCCTGGGGAGGAGGTCGGAAGATCGCGCGATCCAGAATCCGCTTTCTCCATCTCGACGCCTCTGGTGCATTGGTGATGCGGCGCGTATCCTCCACCCCATCCGCTCTGGCCCCATTGTGGAGCCCTCCCAGGCCTCGATGCCCGCCTTGGAGGAATGGAGTCGACCTTGCAGAACATCGCCGACGTCCTGGTCGGGCCCGCCAATCCGCCATCGAAGTAGCGAGCGCCTCCACGAAAGGGCGGCTAGACGCCGTCGACGCAGACCTGTCGTATCGCACTGACCCGTCGCGGGCGAGTGTTCAGCAAAGCCGCCCGAAAGTTCTGACTTTTTGCTTCGGGTGGCAAGTGGATTTGCTACCCGATCGAACTAGCATCAGCAGGATGTCCTGTAGCCCGTGCATCCGTAGTTTTATTGTGTATACTTTCTGCTCCCCTCTCCTCCTCCTCCTCCTCCTTCTCCTCCTCCTCTTCCGCCTCCTCCTCCTCCTCCTCCTCCTCCTGCCTCCTGCGTCATTCAGCTGAAGCGCTACCAATCCATGCGAATCCGCTGTGCGTGCTTGACACAGACGGTTCGTGCACTGGATTCTGCCCGACTGATGGGAAGCTTGAGCCTGACAAGTTGAATCAGCACCGGCCACGCCATCATGAGGAGAAGAAGGAGAATGGTCATTCATCTTCCTCTTCAGCGTCCGACGTCTCGCTGTCGGAATCCTCACCTCGTGCTCCTCTCTCTGCAATCTCTCCTCCGTCCTTTACTGCTTAGTGTCCTGCGCGTTCAACCACGGGACCACTAATCTGCTGGCCTCCGTGCAGCAGGACCTAAGAGGGGTGCCAGTCCTCCCAGATGCTCCTCGCGCGCCTCCTGCCATTCTCACGACTCGCCCCCTCCTCAAGTTACATCTGTTGTCCTCCTCCTCCTCCTCCTCCTCCTCCTCCTCATCATCATCATCATCATCATCATCATCATCATCATCATCGTCCTCGTCCTCCTCCTCCTCATTATCCTCGTCCTCCTCCTCCTCCTCCTCCTGCCTTCTCCACCCCTCCCCCTCGACCCTCGAAAGGCCGGGGCGCAGGTAGCTCCTCGGAGCAGCCGACGCCGTGGCCTCGGCACCTGGCCACGCCCAGTCCTGCGCGGCCTCGACCCCGCCCCCCCCCCGGTGGCTCGGAGCTCAGAGATCCAACGCGCTGAACAACACAAGGCGCAGGCTTTTCGTAATTTTCAGCCTCCCCTGACTCCAGATCCGCCCTACTTTGCCTTTTTTTTTCCAATTTGAAATTGCGTCGGAAATCCACACATAAGAAGCCGAAAAAGTAGGGCGGAAATGTTTGCACCCAACATAAAATATGGCGAACGTCCACGGAAGTAGGGCGGAAACAACAATAGAAAAGTAGGGCGGAACTTGGCATCCGCGGGGCTTGAAAAGTAGGGCAGAAATTCCAAGCCCTACTTACGAATGTCCCCAGAGTAGGGCGGATCAGGAGTCAGGGTCAGACTCAATAGGGGCACTCCCCGGGCCCCGGGACGGGACCGTCAGAAGCAACTCAGGATGAAGCACCGGTCCTGGGGAATGGGTCGAGACCTCCGGGGACCCCGGATTGACAAAATCGCGACGTCGGATCTCTGGGAAATTGCTGACTGTGTTGCGTACGGTCGGACCGACGCATAGGGGGACCCCGTATTGAAAAAATCGCGACGTCGGATCTCTGGGAAATCGTTGACTGTGTTGCGTACAGTCGGACCGAGGCATATAGGATCGATGTCGGTCGGTTCGGGGGGGGGGGTCCCCAATGTTCTGGTGTTTTGGCTGGCGGTGTTTCTCATGTTCTCGACGGATGCTTCGGACGGGGCTGGGGCGAGGGTAAGTCCGTTCCAGAGCGCTCCAGAACGCTTTCAGAGCGTCCCGGAACGCTCTCAGAAGGCCGCGGCGCCCGAGACAGCCTCCCAAACCGCTGGATCTCAGGGGTCCTCGATCTGTACCCTCCCACGATGTGATCCTCGCCCTGGCCTCGCCTTGAGTAGGGGGCCACATCCTTGTTCCTTATTCCCCATATCCTAAGATGGGGTTCTTGTTATTACTTGGACGCCTCCTACTCCTCCTCCTCCTTCCTCCTCCTCTTTTCTCCTCCCCTCCTGTCGGGCTTACTCATACTCAGACTTGCTCATACACAGACTTACTCATACTCAGACTTACTCATACTCAGACCTACTCATACTCAGACTTACTCACACTCAGACATACTCATGCACAGACTTACTCATACACAGACTTACTCACACCCAGCCGTACTCATACACAGACTCACTCATACCCAGACTTACTCATACACAGTATTAGTCATACTCAGACTTACTCATACCCAGACGTACACATACACAGACTTTCTCATACACAGACCTACTCATACCCAGACTTACTCATACACAGACTTACTCATACACAGACTTACTCATACTCAGCACCCCTAAGGGGAGCCGCCAGGGGTGGTTGCACGGGCTCGTTCGCGGCCATTTTGTGGGGATGTCTCAGGCGGTTTGCCTGTTTCTGTGCCCAACATCCTTCGCTTTCGGAGCAGATTTGGAGGATGTCTCGAGCGAGGCGCTCATTTCAGCACCCCTAAGGGGAGCCGCCAGGGGTGGTTGCACGGGCTCGTTCGCGGCCATTTTGTGGGGATGTCTCAGGCGGTTTGCCTGTTTCTGTGCCCAACATCCTTCGCTTTCGGAGCAGATTTGGAGGATGTCTCGAGCGAGGCGCTCATTTCAGCACCCCTAAGGGGAGCCGCCAGGGGTGGTTGCACGGGCTCGTTCGCGGCCATTTTGTGGGGATGTCTCAGGCGGTTTGCCTGTTTCTGTGCCCAACATCCTTCGCTTTCGGAGCAGATTTGGAGGATGTCTCGAGCGAGGCGCTCATTTTCACCCCCCAGGTGGGCCAGATTTTGAGGATGTCTCGATCGGTTTGCTAGTTTTGGTGGCCAGGCTCGTGGGCGCAGATTCTTCTCAGGATGCCACAGGAGGCTCCAACAGGCTCCAGGAGGCTCCAGGAGACCACATGAGGTCCCAGGAGGCATCAGGAGGCCACAGAAAGACTCAAGAGGCCACAGGATGTCCCAAGAGGCTCCAGGAGGCCCCAGGAAGCTCCAGAAGGCTTCAGGAAACCACAGGAGGCCCCAGGAGGCAACAGGAAGCGCCAGGAGGCCTCGGAAGGCAACAGGAGGCCCCGAGAGGCCCCAGGAGCAGGAGGCCTCAGAAGGCAACAGGAGTGGCTCCAATCCCATGTGTTTTACGTATGCTCCTATCGATTGGGCCTCACCTGGAGCACGATTCTTTGCTGTTCTACGTATGTTTCTATAGATGGTCCTTCTCCTGTGTACACAATCCTAAATGTTTTACTCATGTTCCTATGTATTGGGCCTCTCCTGGGGCACGAGTCCTTGGTGTTTTACGCGTGTTCCTATAGATTGCCCTTCTCCTGTGGCTCTAATCCCCCTCCGTAGCCATTTTGGCTCAAGACTCCATGCTTGGGGGGCTGCAAGCCTCCTGGCAACCACGGGATAGCTCTGTTTCCCGAGCTCGACTTCCATCGGCGCGCGCGGCTCCCCTCGTTCTGGCACTTATAACACTGAGTTTGTCTCGGCCATGGCACCTCAGTGGCAGTGCGTGTGTGGAGAGTACCACGCGGCCGACCGCACTCGATGCACGAAGCCTGGATGCGGCGGCATGCGACCTCGCTTTCCACGTGGAGCTGGGCAGCCCTGGCAGCAACCTTGGCAGCTTCGTCAGCCTCCCACCCGTGGCAAGTGGGCTGACTCGCCGCCGAGCAACCAGTGGGGTCACAACGGCAAGCTCTTCAAGGGCAAGGGTGCTGGTGGCGACAAGGGCTCCACGGGCACCACCCTCAGCGCGGAGGAGGTCAAGGTTTGGGCCACGTTCGTGCAGGAGACCTGGGAAGCGACTAAGCACACCCTCACGCAGTCCTCTCGTGGGAAGGTGGAGGCTGCTCGTCGCGCTCATTCTCTCGGTCTGGTCGGGAGGTCGGCACCTCAGAAGGTGGACGGACTTGCTCGCCAGCTCGCGGATGCCCAAGATCGGCTTCAGCGCGAGTCGGAGGTGGCTCGCAAGGCGCTGGAGCAGGTGCACACGACGAAGGTGGCCATCGCGCAGCTGCAGCAGGAGCTCGCGGAGGCCAAGCGTGAGGCGGCCGCGCTCTACGGCGGAGGCATCAGCCCTGATGCGATCAAGGAGAAGCTCGGCTCGCTCAACACCGACGGTGTCTCTGGCCAGGACCTCCTCGAGCAGCTCTCCAAGATGGTCAACGAGCTCGCCGAGGAAGCGAAGGCAGCTCGCCCGCAGGGCGGAGCTCCCGTCGCAGCAGGCGGCGCCGCGCCCGTCCCCGAGCCAGCTGCAGCCCAGCCTGGCGGAGGTGAGGCCGCAGCGGCGCCCGCAGCAGGCGCGGCGCCAGCTGAGGACGGTGCGGGCTTCGACGCTTTCCTGGGCGGGGACGATCCTGGCGGGCTTCTTGGTAGCTGCGGCGGTGACGACGAGCAGCGCAAGAGGATCTGCGATGCCCTGGAGGCCCTGCGGTCCGCCAAGAAGCCGCGGACCTCAGGGTAGCCACCCTCGCGGGCGCTGGTGGACAGCTCTCTCCATCAACGCCAACGCGTACAGCAGGTTCGAGAGCATTCTTGGTTACGAGAGTCTCAGGAGCTGCGACCTCGTAGCGGTCCAGGAGACGCACTTGTCTCAGGAGCGGCGTTGCGAGGTCACCGACAAGCTGCAGGGACTGGGCTGGCATGCGGTTGCCACGCCAGCTACTGACGTCTCTGTTGGGCATGCAGGTCACGGTGGCCTCCTGCAACTGGCGCCCAGGTCCTCGGGCCTAGGCGAGTTCGAGGCTGGGCAGCCGACGGTGCTCACGCCAGGTCGCGCGGCAGTCGCGCACGTAGCAGGCCCCTTCCCTGGGGGGCTGGCTTGGATCAACGTCTACTTGAAGGTTGGCGAAGGCCTTTCGGCTTACAACCTCGGCATCCTGGACGGCATCGCGATGGCGATTCGCGCCATTGGCAAACCTTTCGTGATCGCGGGAGACTTCAACATGGAGCCCCACGAGCTCCAGTGCTCTGGCTTTCTCGAGCGCGTCGGAGGCAGGGTGGTCTCGCCAGCGGACGGCACCATTCGGCCATCGGGCAAGG